TTTTTATTGTTTTTCCAGCATATTCCTTTCCCTATAACTAAAAATTAGCAGGATGGGCGCCACACCACCAGGAACACCCCCAGCGCCCGGGGAGCTGGCTGGGGAATTCTGGGAGTTGAAGTCCACACATCTTAAAGTTCCCAAGGTTGAGAAACACTGGTCTAATGGAATGGGTGGCCATAATACATTTAATGAATGGAATGAATGGAATTAGTCCAGACAGCAAGCTACCACATTCTCTTACTGAGCAATTCCCCTGCTGCTTTGCCCTTCCATCTTTCTGGCCCAGAAAAGCAACTGCCAATCACATTCTTTCTTTCCTTCCTATGGGCAGATCTTAATGGACACATACACTTTTATATGGGTATCATTAAATTGAATGTATACATGCAAAGTGAAAGCATCAAAATGCAGGCACAGACATGCAGGAACAACCACCAACTTTAAAACACAGAATCCCTTCCTATTCTCACCCTGCCTGAGATTTCCCCAGGCACTGCTCATATCATCTCAAGCTTTATCCCCAGACTCAACCTCTGATCATCTTAGAGTTAGAAGAAATTTGTCTTGTCTGCAGCCCATCGGTTTCAATCTAAAATCAAGCTCCTTGCTCTGTATAAAAGATCCTGAAAAATGGGAAGCTCAGGATGTTAGGTTGTGTACTACACTGCCAATGTGGGGCCTGCTTGCCAATATCATGTTCACGCTCCTACCACGCTGCTTTGGCCCCTACCATGCTGGAGGATGTTCTTGGACAATGTATTGGAGATGACGTTGAGAATTCTTCTCCCCAAACAGGAGTACCTAATTAAAGAAGGAAACTTGAGTCGTGGAGCTGTAGATATGATTGGAGACTTGCTGAATGAAGATTCTGGCTATTACCTGTCTTTTATTGAGAGCATGAGAGGTGATGATGTCTTCTCTTATGAAAAACGGTAAGGAAACCTATGTCACTTGCTCTCCTTTGGATTAGATGACTTCTTCACCATGGTCCAATTTTAAGGGTGAAATCCCTTGGTTTTCCATTGAAGGATCCATTGGAATCTGCAAGGGATGGGGGATAAAACTCTGCAAGAGGGTGGGCACAGAGTCACCCTGCCCCTTTGGTGTAGGAATGCAGAGCAACTCTTAACTCTTTGCTGCCAACTAAGGTCCTTTGGATTTTTGCAGCTGAGATCTGGCGCTGCTAGGCTGGCTATCTGTTAATGCAAACCACAGGCTGGCAACCGAAACCAAAGCTAACGTAATATCACCTGGCAATGGCAAGAAATGGCAGAGTTGCTGGGTTCTTTTTTAAACTGTACCCAATTAGATTGACCGAGAATCAAAAGATCGGCAAAAGCACTGCACCCTGGACAGGTGTCTGTTTGTATCTCCCTATAAGGGTTGGGGAGATGTTTTATTCTGAAAAAAAGAGAGATACAAAAGTGAAACATACAAATCTATATGTGAGTATTTCCTGTTGTCTCTATCTTATCCTGTACTCTATTTATTTTTATCGCTATTGCTACTATACAGTTGCAATTTTCTCTACCCTATATTCTACTACTATTACTTCTATACTATTAAGTCTTATTTCTATACTATTCCTATTAGGAGCAATGTTTCCCTCTTACAGAGCCTTTTCTGTCTTTCATTCCTCTCTCTGAGATTTCTTCTCCTTTTTTCTTCTCTGCTAATAGCCAGCACGTTGATCACTTGCACCTTCCCACGTTGTGCTTTTGCTTTGCTTTGCTTTGCTTCACTTTGCTTTGCCGTGCCTCTTCTTTTTCCTCTGGACCATCCACTCCCTTTGAAGGAAAAAAATGCCTCTTTCATTTGGCTGCTTTCCTGGGTTTGCTGCTGGACGCAGCGCTCCCAAACCACACACGTCTCCTCCCACACCTGTTTCAAGGCTGCAGCTTTATTGGCAACTCTGCCGTGGTGACGCTGGCGAGAAATTCAGATGGGAGGGGAAGAAGGCAGCCCAGGGGCCTGCAGTTTTTCTAAGCAGCCTGCTTTTCCACAATCATCAGTAATGGAATCATATTATCGGTACATTTTAATTTTTATACCAGCTCGAAATGGCATAGGAAGAAGATTCCCATTTGGGTGGACTCGCTCTGTATGCAACATCCCCTCTGCTTTAGTCATTAGGTTAACAGTTGCCAGATATTCTTTTTGAAGGGACTTTTTTTTTTTTGAAGGGACTAGACTTTTGGGACTGTAAAGAGAGTGTTTCACGTTCAATCCTTCTATGAGGCACAAAGTGTATTACTTTCATTTTACTAAAACACAATTCCATTACGGGCTAAAATAGACCAAAAAGAAGTATCAGAATTTTGCAAACTTTGCTTAGCATTGCAAATATTCACAAAGACAATTAATATATCAAGGCTTGTATAGTGCTTCTCCTTCATGGATCACTGCCTTGTCGTGGCGAAGGGGCTTGCGTAACTCAGTGAAGC